GACCTGATTAGACGGATTAAATTTTTCCATTTAATAAATTATATGCAGTGACAATTAGCACACGAACTCTGCATTATTAGTTAAAAAGATCAGTCATGGCTAATTAGCTTGCCCTTGTATACCTAATGACTTTGTAGAATCTAACGAATTGTTTTTCCTGGCACTACATTTTCATGCAAAAATACCTCTCTACGATCATCTAAGCGAATGCTACAGCCTCCTATTGATTCATCTTTGTTGGAGCAGTCATGTGCGCATAAAGCATCAGTTGTAGTTTTCAACGCTTGAGCGAATACAAGCTGATTGCTACCGACCAGATTGCACATCATAAGTATCCTTCGTCCGCTATTTCATTTTTTTAGTTAGGATACTATCTGTTCTTGGCGGAATATCCCTATAAAGTAGCTTTTTGGATGATTTCTTTGTAAATAATGTTATCTGTGTAGTGATCGTCCGCGCTACCTGGTATAGTCGGTCGGATTAGCACTTTCACGCAGTTCGAACTCTTTGCTCTGGACAAAGCCACATAAAGTTGACCGTGCGAAAACACAAGTTCTCGCAAATAAACTCCAACAAAATCTAATGTTTGACCTTGCGCTTTATTTATAGTCATTGCAAAACAAAGTCTTACAGGAAATTGTGTCCTTTTAAATGGAATAGACATTTTTTCATCTTGGGATGATAATAGTGGTATTCTGGGGATAAACACATGTGTATTCTTAAAGTGACCAACTGAAATATTGGCGCTAATAACATGCGACTTAAAATCACAGCAAGTCAAACGTGTTCCATTGCATAAACCATCACATGGATTTAAATTGCGTAATAATATAATTGGATAATTTTGTTTCAATGTCAATTTGTAAGGAGGCAGACCAGGTGGATTTAAACTGTGCAACAGATCCTCAAATTGTGATTGATCATGATGTTCAGTAGTTTCATCAATACCAATAAAAGTTTTTGATTCTTCTGGGAAGCGAGCAACAAGCATGTCGCTGATATCGTCGACAAAATCATTCTTAGTTGTTAAGATAACGCGGGAACTTGTGTAGCATGAGGAGGAAAAAAATTTATGCACGTCTGGATAAGTTATCGCGAATAATTTATCCAAAGATTCCTTTTCAGTTGTATAAGGAATGATCAAAGAAGTTGGAATTTCAATCTTGTTTGTTGAGTTTACTTTTTCTTCTCCGTTTCCTATTTGCAACAAATAATTACAGGATGAAGGATCATCTTTCGCTCTCATATTTTCGAATAGCCGCAGCCTTTCAAGTTCTTCCCAAATATGAGAATATAGTAAACTTTCATTAATGAAATCTTCCTTTTTTCCGTTCCGAACTAACGGTAATGTCTGCCTGAAGTCACCTCCAAGAACTACAACTTTTCCACCAAATAGTATCGTTGAATCCATTAAGTCCTTCAAAAGTAAATCAAGGAGTTCAATCATTCTTTTTTTTCACCATAGATACTCCATCCCATATAATTAATTTTGTATCCTGAATCAAACAGGCAAGTGAGCTTTGTTTGCTGATGTTGCAGCTCACATTGTCGTCAGTATTTATTGGTATTTTAAAACGTGAATGTGCAGTTCGTCCACCAGGGAGTATAGATGCAGCTACACCGGAAGTGGCAGTTGCCAATGCTATATACCCTTTAGATCGTACAGTTGCCAACAATGCACGATATAAAAAGGTTTTCCCTGTTCCTCCAGGTCCGTCAATGAAGAATGCTCCAGCTTTGTTTGAAAAAATTCTCTTTGTAATTATATTGTATGCTTTAAGTTGATCTTTATTCAACATTTTGTGTAATAGTATATCCTCATTAGTCACCGTGATGGTCCTTTCAAAGTGTACCTCTTTTGCCGCTACTGAAGGCCTTATTGTTTCAGTAATGAGGTGGTATTCATTTATGTCACCACCCATAGAGTGTAATATGTCGTTAATATGGTTCAAAACTTGGTATCGAATATTTGTTTTGTTAATATTGGATACCAACGTATAATCCTCGGACATATGCTGTTCAAATTGTTCCCAGAGTTGTCTTGGATTCGTAGGATTACAGTAAATCAGTAATGTAGCAAATAAACGTCTCAAACTGTATAGCATCTGGTAACTTGCTGCTTCTGACAGGCATTCAAGCAAACTATTGTCACTTTGTAGCAATCCCCGTTTTTCCACTGATTCTCTAAAGGTGCTGCAACGTTCTCCATTAATAGTTAGTAAATCCTTATATAATTTTGATCTACTAATATTCATTAATAACATTCTAAGATAATATCGCTCACCTTCCGTTGGATGACATGTTATAACACGACCAATAGCATGTCGTTGTTTCCGAGGTGTCCACATCTTCTCTGTTGAAGACCAAACAAAATGTTCAGGGAATTCCTGGTATAATAGATTGAGCTCCATAGCCTCAGCGTTTGTTCTATTCATTTCGAAAAATTGTGTTAGCATTGTCTGCTTAATCAGCGGATTATTTACAAGTGTATCTACATTTGCGCTGCTTCTGAATAAAACAGAATGTTGCCCCTTAAGATGAAGTTGAAGAGGTCATACGGTCGGTAACATTTCACTAATCGAGAAACCATACAAGCGCCACATAGCCTCGGGAGGCGACACCCATCTAGCAGCCTTTATTTCATCTATTTCTGCGTTTGTGTCGTTATTATGTACCGAAAATGCAATCTTGTCATGTCCTTTACATATATACTTATAAAGATACTTAACAACTTTAATATCGGAGCATATTTCAACATTCAGATGGCAGTCAAATTTGCCTAGCAAAAAAGGATTATATGGAACAACCCATGAGTTATCCAAGTATTGTTCTATTATTTTTACCACCAACCCTATATTGCGTCTTCTATAAATTGGGTAAGATTCTATTTCTTTTGATGTCTGGTCCGCAAAACTTTTTGGATACTTGAATTTACAGTAACCTTTCTTCTTCATACAAGAATTTGTTGGGTTTAGATTACCGCATGGACCATGCATCATGTGTTTAAGAACAAGCGAATGTAAATCTGGTTCTGCATTCTCATCAGGTATTTCAGCACTAATAATATTATTGTAAGCCGCTGGAGTAAGTAATTTGTATTCATTAGTTAATATTATAAGAAAATGAGCATGTGGTAAACCTCGCTTTTGGAACTCTACAGTGTACATAAAAGCTGCTACCTTTCCAAAGATATTTCGCTTTAGTATATCCTTTTTGAATTCTTCTATTTTCGCTCTAACTACACAGCTGATCAAATCAGGCCTATTATGCGACTCATCAGTTGGAATTAAATGTTCCTTTATCTCTATCCAAGAGGGATTACATGTCATAGTTATAAATAAATCAGGTTTACCGAAATGTTGCACGAGCGCAATAGCATCCATGTATCGTTGTCGCATATCCCGAGGCCCTCCAATGAAGGAGCTTGGAAGGAAATTTTGTTTCCGATATTAGAAGCATCGCGTTCACCCAATCGCAAGATGTCAAGAAGTCCTTCTAGCATAGCCGTCCTAAATAAATCTTGATTGAACGCTGCGAAATCCAACCTTTGTGTTTCGAGTTTAATGTATTCATCAACTGAATACTGCTGAAATATTCTTCCAGTATGCAATATTTCATCTTCATCATCATTTCTCATTTGTAATTTGTAACAATAATACTCACGAACAGAAACAGTATCTCTTCGTCGCTGTCCCTTTTTAAGAATTTTAGCTTCCATTTCAAGATATCCGTCAAGTGACGTAACATTTCTTATACTTGGTACCTCTTCGTGATGCGCAGTTCTTAAGTACGCAGGACAATTTACTGGGAGCTTCTTAATACCACAATGCCAGCCACTTTGCCCTAGCGGAAATAATAGCGGATATTGCAATGCATCATAACAGCCATAATAGTAATTCACTATTTGTGTTCGATCAGTGCGAGGGTAAATTAGAATATGTGGTGCATTCAAGGCTACGCCATCATTTTCCTCGGTCCATATTGCTGCAATTTCAGATGAAGTCGGCAAATTATATACTCTCTGGTCCAAATTTAAGTCACATTTGAGGGCTATGTGGAAATCTTGAAGGTTCGATACATGTACCAAAGATCGTAAAAACACAGAATATGGGTTTATTGATAATATATCCATCAATTCTTTCACTACTGATTCGTGAATTCTGTCAGAACATGCCATCCTATGTGCTAGCTCATTGCAATTATCATAAAAGTATAACTGTATATTTCTTGGTTTGTCATCTATAGGGTGCAAATTATTTATCCAATGGTGCATCTTCCCTTGAACTCTAAATGTGTAGATACCAAAGTTTCTCTTTGCTAAATCTTTGTCATACTTTACACCAAGTGAGGTGAACGCAAAAAGGTTATTATACGTTCTAATGTATGTTCGGAAGTGTTTAGACTCCACATTGTTTCCAAGAAATAAATTTCACAGTTTGGTAGGCATTTGATGAGAAGTTAACTTTATTGTTCCACTACCAAAGCAAAATGCAGGCGGTTCATATTCAAATCTCTTTGCTGCGCAAAATTTGCAGATTGGAATTTTCTTCAGCGGAACATAGTTTGAACGCAATAGACCGGTAATTGGAGCAAACTTTGTAGTTGGTGCACGACCTGTATGTTGGAAATAGATGGTTAAAATTAAGGTGAACGAAAGGAAACAATTATTATTTCAGCAGACAGAAAGCCAAACGAACCTGTACATGTAACTATTTCGGAGTCTTTGTTACGTAGCTCACCGGGTGCTGCTGACGTTGAACCTAAGACCAAGTTAGGTGGTCCTTAGATGGCACCAAATGATGACAAGTAGTATAAAAGTAAGCATAGAAGGCGACATACTCACCTTTTTCATAGATAGAAAGTGGTTGCACTACATCTCTTTCATTACCCGAAGTAGAAGGCGGAGGATGATCCTCAGACGTAGTAAAAGCTACAGCGAAGAGAAAGCATAAAGGAAGTTGACTATTTAAAGTGCGAGATAAGGTGAAAGCGATGTGAGAACCGTATCTTCTAACCTGGATGCAGAATGTAAGAAGTGGTCGTAGAGCATTCAGGTGGATCCATTATTCCATTCAGGCAATCCACAGTTATATTCTCAGCAGGTGCACATGTCTTTGACTCTTGGTATTTAAGTCGACGTTGTAGTAGCAACTTCTGCTTTTTCTCTGCGGACATCGCTTTGTCTTTTTCGCGCATGTTGACATTCCTATCCGTTTCTGATAGAGGTTGCTTGTTTTTTTTGTATGATCCATCAGAATCGTAGTATCTACTCTTAAATGATACTGTGCAAATTGTCATAGTCTTTTAGAATTGTATTAATTTTTATCACCGAGATGCATATCACAGGGCACGAAGTGACAAAATTGAGGCTATCTTTGAACAGATATAGTTACCCCAAGGAAGACAATATGGGAAGCAATTCATAATGTCATGGTATGTTTTCGAAAAAGACGTACGTTTTGGCTATTAGTTTTCACACAAGTAACATTGGAATCAAGTGAAATACCTCTGGACATCAACTTTTTGTACCTATAGGGGGAACAGTTATAATTATTTGTAAAAACAATTTCTTCGTAGTGTAACATCCGCGCAAAGGAACTTTTCCAAAGGTATAGCTTCGCTAACTAAGCGGGAAAAATCTAACTAAAACATGACCCGAAGTGAAATAAAAGAAAGTGGACGCCGTGATACGACATCAAAAACTAAAGAGCGAATATGTCAAGCCAAAGTTTTTATTACGCACATAAGTCAGTTTATAAACAAGGAATAAACAAAGTAATTGTACAGAAGAAAATAGTGGACATCAACAACCATTGGCAGTACAACAGAAATAAGCAACAATGTACGCATTAATATGACCTAATGTGCACGAATATACGAAAATAAGATAGTTGGTTACCTTTACAGTGTTGAACTTCTTCTGGAAGTATGTTAATTGTACTGAACGTAGGAGAAACGTCAGCAATTCTACAAAGCCAAAAATATAATTTCAGTCATAATTCACCGATCAGGAATTTATTCATAGGGAATATGAAGGCAATCAGAAAATTTGAGCGTAGAAGTATTACTGCAAAACATCGACATCATAGAGCTTTTAGGAGCGTAGTATTAGGCTTTATAAGATTAATTTCAAGCCAAGATATGTTAAAAGTAAAGACAAAATTATTGAGAAGGAAAGGATGGGTCAATTTGCCTTCGAAATTTCAACAAATATTTATCAACAATCCTATAAAAACGTTCAAATAAAGTCAATCCAATTCTAGAATCATTATTGCATAAAACTTGGACATTGACAGTAAATTGTCCATTCAAATTATTTATATTCCTTTAACAATGACTTCTACTTTTCATGGATTTTCCTCTCGTAGAGGAGCATAAGAATCATTTAGTTTTTCCAAGCATATCATCCGACAGTTAATTGCACCAAAGATAACAAAGTGGCAAATTTACATTCAAAAACTACTACATAAATTTTGGCTCCACAAGTAAGATAAGCTCCAAATAACTATGAAAGAATATTTGAAAGTGCAAAGCTCCGTACAAGGTAAAGTATTTTGTTCGGTTAGCTTCTAGAAAGCTTGCTTTTCGCAAAGAAATATTCAGAGAAGGGGTTTAAATTGTTATAAATATTTACATTAATAATAAATAGCTTCTAAAGTATTCCCGCTTCTAAATAGTAGTAATATTTACATTAATAATAATAATAATTAATAATAATAATAATAATTGTTATAAATATATGATATTATGGATGTTCATTTAGTATTCTGTTATAAATAAGCTTCCTGAAAAAGCTTATCCACATGGGACTCCGCCGTAAATATGTTTATATATTTAATACTCTATTGGAAATAAGTCTCCTCAAGAATCTTATCACTTCGGTACCCGGTTATAAATAAACATTATCCTCGATAGAAGATTATCCATACCGGATATAATAAGCTTATCCTTTCGATACTCTGTTATGGATAAACATTCAGTACTCCGTTATGGATAAACATTACTCTCAGTAGAAGATTATCCATATCTGGTATAGTAGCAGCTTACACAGTAGCTTGCAGTAGCAGCTTACACAGTAGCTTGGAGTAGCAGCTTACACATCAGCTTCCTTTCTTCTATAAATAGAGGAGATTTCAGTTCATTATGTACATCAGTTTGAATTCGAATAATATATCACTTTCTCTATATACTTGTCTTTACTTTACAGTCTTTATTTTATAATACGTTATCAGCACGAGACTCTACCATCTCGAGCAAATACTTTGAAATTATCTGAGGTACGAACTTTCTGTTTCTATATAATGTCAAATCTTTCTAAACTTGAATTTGTAGCCCTGGATATATCGAGCAAACGCTACATGTCTTGGGTGCTTGATGTTGAAATTCATCTTGATGCGATAGGTCTGGCAGACACCATCAAGGATAAAAATCAGGCATCAAACCAAGACCGTGCCAAAGCAATGATATTCCTACGTCATCACCTTGATAAGGGCCTGAAAATGGAATATCTTATTGTTAAAAATCTAGTCATACTGTGGAATAATTTGAAAGATAGATATGACCACCTGAAGATGGTCGTTCTTCCATAGACACGTTATGATAGGACTCATCTAAGGCTACAAGATTTTAAATCTATAAGTGAGTATAATTCTGCTATGTTTAGAATTATTTCCCAATTGAAATTGTGTGATGATAATATTACTGATCATGTTATGTTGGAAAAAACTTTCACCACTTTTCACGCCTCGAATATGCTCCTGTAGCAGCAATATCAAGAGATGAGATTTAAAAAGTATTCTGAACTTATCTCACATCTTCTAATATCCGAGCAACATAATGGGTTATTAATGAAAAACTATGAAAGCCGACCTACTGGTTCTTGTCCATTCCTGAAGTGAATGAGACGAACTTCCACCAAGCTAGACGTGGAAGAGGTCGTGGCCCCAGTCATGGTCGGGGAAGAAACTCTAATCATGGTAATAATAATGCACCAAAGAACCCTCCTTGCCACCAGCAATGGAAAAGGAAGAAACAAAAACATGAAGTGGTGCAAGCACCAAATGCATGCTATAGATGTGGAGGAAAATGGCACTGGTCACGTACCTGTCATACGCCAAAACACTTGGTTGAGCTTTATCAAGCCTTCCTAAAGAAGACAGAGAAAAATGTTGAAGCAAATTTTATTTCTTAAGATAATTTAGACTTCATGCATTTAGATGTAGCTGATTACTTTGCACTCCCAAAAGGAGAAACAAGTCATGTAATCGGTGGTGAATCTGTAAAAATGTAAATATTTTAATTATTGTTGTTTGTAATAGATAATATGATTATGTAATTATTGTACATAAATAAAAGTTATGCATTAATAATGATGTTTACTATAATATATTTTATTTATGTCATTTTGAAGAATATGGATAATTCTCAAATTATGTTTGGATCAAAGACAAATCATGAAGATATTTGTGTTATTAATAGTGCAACAACTCATGCCATATTCAAGGATCTGAAATACTTTTTTTATTTGCATAAGGAAAAAGCAAATGTTTCAACAATTTCTGGTAATATAAGTTTGATTGAAGGCTCCGGAAGAGCCATTATATTTCTGTCTAAAGGAACAAAACTCATTATAGACAATGCATTATTCTCCTCCAAGTCCCGAAGAAACTTGTTGAGTTTTATAGATATCCGCCAAAATGGGTATCATGTTGAGACAATAGATGAAATGAATGTGGAATATCTTTGTATTACAAAGAATATTTCTGGCCAGAAATGCATTGTAGAAAAGTTACCGACTTTATCTTCTGGCTTATACAATTCAAAATTAGTACAATTAAAGCACACTCTGTCGTAAACCAGAAGTTTACGGATTCAAATACTTTTGTGCTTTGGCATGGCCGTTTGGGCCATCCTGGATCAATAATGATGAGACGAATTACTGAAAATTCGAGTGGGCATCCATTAAAGAACCTGAAGATTCTTACAAATGACAAATTTTCTTGTGATGTTTGTTATCAAGGCAAAATGATCACTAGACCATCACTAATGAAGGTTGGCATTGAATCCCCTGCCTTAACCTTTTTGAGCGTATACATGGGGATATATGTGGACCTATTCACCTACCAAGTGGGTTGTTTAGATATTTTATGGTCCTAATATATGCATCTTCAAGATGGT